TTGGAGGCCAGCTTGATCTACAGAGCTCCAAGACAGGTCCCAAAGCTACACAGAAAAATCCTGTCTTGAAAAACCAAACCAACCCAAAAAGCAAACGGAAAAAACCCAAACCTAGTTGGGGACAAGTTTGACACAGTGCATGTACCTGTCACTCTTGTGTTGTCAGCTACTTGTGATGCTGAGCAAGAAGGGCAAAAATAGTCACTTGAAGCAGGGGTGGTGGCACATACCTTTAATCCCAGCACGTGGGAGGCAGAGGCAGGCAGATCATGCAGTCTAAGGCTAGCCTGCTCTACATAGTGAGTTTCAGGAGAGCAGTCAGGGTTATGTAGAGATCCTGTCTCAAAAAACAAAAACAGCAGGGCTGCAGAGATGGCTCAGGGTTTAAGCACTAGCTGATTTCAATTTCCAGCAACCACATGGTGGGTCACAACATTCACTAATATTAGGGATCTGATGCCCTCTTGTGGTGTGCAGGTGTATATGCAGACGAAGCATTCATAAAATGTAAATAAAACAAAAAACAAAACCCAACAGCAACAACAACAAAAAGTACTTGAAACCAAGAGTTTGTAGCCCCAACTAGGGCAGGTTAGCAAGACAGTCTTTGCTTCAAAAGGGACGGGATGGGTGGGAGCTCAGTGGTAGAGTACATGCTTAGCTTATAGAAAGGTCATAGTTGAGTCCCAGAACTGAGATTAATTTAGTACGAGGCCAAGGAGAAACAGTACGATTTGAAAAATTCCATCTATTCTTTCACAGACACTGGATAAATTGCACACCCCTCTCAGGGTCTTATGTAACTAAGGCTGGCATTAAACACAGTGTAGGATGACCTTCAATTCCTTGATCTTCCTGCTCCCATATCCCAAGTGCTAGAGTTTAAGTGTGCTCCACCAAGGTCTGGCTGAAATGCTGGAGAACTTCTAGGAGTCCCCTCCAGGAAGGACATGGGAACTTTTTGTTCACCTTCAACTGTGTTGGGGAATAAATCGGCTAGCCAGTTGCAATGTGTTGTGGGAAGTACATATAGGAACCAGATAGACCTGAGTCCTAGATTGCCATGTAATAGCTTAGACAGAACATCTGCCTCTGGTTTTAGAAGGGTTATATAGCTTAACAAATGTTAGTGAGTACAATTATTTACAGGTGGAAGTTCAAGCCTAGATTTCAGAGGGCAAAAACTGAGCCGAGGTGGAATGAGCCTCCTGGGTTGTTCTTTGTACAGTCAAACCCTCTCTATTTTTCCAGACTCAAAGCAAGCTGTCCCAGACATTGGCTGACTCTGGGTCAGAAATCATCCACAGCTAGCATCCTTGTAGTGTAGCACCATCTTGTGGACACTTGGTGGGATGGAGGTTGGTAGCTAAGAAATCTCGATAGCAAATCTCATCATAGGCCCAATCAAGTTCTAGGCACTTCACATACCTTTATGAAATCCAGTCTGTAAGACAAGGTCTTTCCCAGGCTGGCCTGGAACTCACCATACTCCTGCCTCTAGAGTGCTGATGTTACAGATGTGTCATCATGTGCATAGTTCAAAGGCAGAGCTTTTTCTTTTTTCTTTTCTTTTTTTTTTTTTAAATAAATGGTTTCTTTTCATTTTATGTGCATTGGTGTTTTGCCTATGGGATCCTCTGGAACTGTTAGAGTCAGTTTGTGAGCTGCCAGGTGGACGCTGGGAATTGGTGTCCTTTGGAAGAGCAGTCAGTGCTCTTAACTGCTGGGCCATCTCTCCAGCCCCCAAAGGCAAAGCTTTTAAGACCTCTTGTATGGGGAATTGGGTGGAGGGTGGGTACAGGGAATGAAACCCAAAGTTGTCACATATACTGGACAAATGCTGCACTGAACTAATCCAGCCCTTTGCTTTGAGATAGGATTTCAGTAGTTTGTCCAGGCTGTCTCCTGTTGCGCCTAGGTAAAGATTAGTCTACCAAGTTCTTGGATCCCTGGAGACGGCTCTACCCTCCCGAGTAGTTCCTAGGCTAGGATGTACACTTGCAGAAAAGCTTGGAGATGAGCGCATGCATATGCCTCTAGTTCTCATGTCACCTTGTGGCACCAAACTGCAACAAGACAAAGGAAGTATCCCACCTCACCGGCTCCTAGACCACTCAGTTCCTACATCCCTTGAGGCACAGTCCCATCAGGGTGGGGCTTTGGCAGATGCGAATTCCAACCATCACTGTTTGCTACAGGGAAGAAGCTGGCGTGCATCTTAAATCCCATGTTGGCATTCGGCCCTCCACCTACTGGGCCTGTCTGGGAGTGTTGTGGTATGGGAATGGGGGCTGGAGGACACGAGGGGCAGCCCTGCAGGCCCACACAGGTAAGCACTGCGGCTCGCACACCCTACTTCAACAGCTTGGCTGTAAGATCACCGCCTAGGCATGCTGTGAGAGAAACACCACCTACCGGCTCAATCCTAGTACCTTCTGGGTTGGAAAAAGAACAGCCATTGTTGGTCAGCTTTCTTTCAAACTGGAGACAGCAAGGCAAGTATAACCTATTTCTCAACCTAGGCTTAAGCTCTCAAACCTTTAAAGACAAAATTGTTCAGCCAAAATCTGACCTACAACTCAGAGATCACCTACTGGGAGTACAGGCACTCGCCAGCAACACCACACCAGATCCCTACCCCCACCCCGATCAGGGTTTCTCCATGTATCTTTGGAGCCCATCCAGTCTGCCTGGCTCTCCCATGTTGTAGACACTCTCCAGGCCAAAGTGAGGAATGCGACGGCCAGGTTGAAGGAAGTGCCAGGCTAGTTTCTGCTGACATATGTAGGAGTACTTTGCCCACCTGCATGTCTTGTGTGCACCTGGTGCTAGTCAGAAGGCACTGGATACCCTAGGACTAGAGTGACAGCCCGTTGTGAGCCACCATGTGGATGCTGGTAACTGAACCCATGTACTTGGAAGGACAGCCAGTGCCCTGTCCCTCCCATTTTTTAAGACAGGGTTTCTCTGCAGCCCTGGCTTCCTGGAACCTGCCTCTACCTACCAGGTACACTTGGCCTGGCTTGTAGACAGTCCCCTTAACTGCTGAGCCAACTATTCAGCCCCTAGTCATTCTTTCAGTCTTGCTTGTGTGTGTGTGTGTGGTTTTAAGACACGGTTTCTCTGTGTAGCCCTAGCTGTCCTGGAACTCACTCTGCAGACCATGCCTGCCTCTGCCTCCCAAGGACTGGGATTAAGGCATACGCCACCACAACCCACCTCTCTCATTGCCTCCTGTTTATGTACCACCACGCTGGACTATGACTTTCTTAGAAAACTCAAAGGCAAGTGGACATGGGATTAACAAGAATTGGGAATAGGATAAACCTTTGCTAATGAAACCTTTCCTAACCTATTGTAAGGCTACACCACCTGTCTCTATGGAGTATAGGTAGGCTTGAAATATCTTACACAAAGCTGAACACATGCAAATTTCCTTCTGGCATGCACATGAAAGTGGAAGCTCCTATAGCACAACCCTGGCGGATCACAACTGGAGCTATCCTTCACATGCAGACAGTGAATATAACTCTACGGCAGAGAGCACTTTTGAGGTACGACTAATCGGAGAAGTGGGGAAATTCAATCTCTGTATTTCAACTTTTCTAGGAACAGTCCTAAAAAATCTCAAGCACACAAAATATATTCTTAAATATGGTTTAATACTCTTCTCCATTTCTGTACATCACAACACCAAGATTCTGCTCTTAGGGTCTCTCTGCAGAGGCTAGGGAGTGCAGGCTACGGTTTCACCCTCTCACTTATGTGTGTTTGTATGCGGAAGTGTAACACATTTCGGTATATATTGATACACACATCAATATATAATGCAGTATATATCACCAAGGAGAACACATTGATTAAAGAAATACAAAAATTTGGCATCATTTCCAAACTTAAATAGTAAAAATAAAAACTACAAAAGGAGCTGCATACCCTAAATGTATCATGAGAAACAACAAGCATATCCAAAAATGTAAATTTACATCCAATTTCTCTGGTCTTGTCATATCACATTAGACCCATTTACAATGGCAAAACCCTAAGGTACTGCTGGGAAGAGTGTGTTTGCTTGCTCTTGGGTGTTCTGCAAACCAACAGCAGAGCCCAAAGCAAAAGCCTGTTCGGTGAAGCTTCCCATGTTGGTGAACACCAAAGAATTGACTCTCCTCCCTGGGGGTTGAGACATCAGGTTACATGACAGACAGTCATTTGGACCTCAGAGTTCAGTGTGAGAACCAAAGCTTTACATGTAAGACATACTCCCTTCATTCAAGTGAAACAGGATTATTGGAACGATAGGCAGGTCTGTAACCCGGGAACAAAGAGCTGGTTCAGACCAATAAAGCTACAAGTGACTGAGTCAAGTCCGTGAAGAACGGCAGTCAGGCACGAAAGTGTTAAAGGTACCCAATTTGAAACCCAATGTAACCACCACCCTGGTTGAGTGTGGGTGATACCAACTGACTTTAAAAACCTTTGGTCCTTCAAAGTCCACTTGGTATACTTTCCGTGTTGCTACCACTGGGCACGTCCTACGCTTGTCTACTGCCACCACCTTGAACACACCATGCCCTTGTACTTCAACTGGGTTCAAATCCACTTACAGCCCAGCTGTGAAGCATCGCTTCAGGTTTTTGGCCAACTTTGGATCTAACATGGTTTAATCCATGGTGCCAGAAGCTGTGTCCCATCCCGCCCCGCCCCGCCCCTCCCTCCTCCCATACTTTCTCATCTGAGAGGTGCTTGTAAGTCCCACTTCTGAAACAGATGCTCCAGCCCCCTCAGGGGTTTGAGAAACATGCAGTCATACATGTCTTATCTGCTCCTGCGAAAAATCTTGCAGTTCATTTGAAAGAAAAAAAAAAAAAAAAAAAAAAAAAAAAATCAACATTCACATAATCTCATGCCATCCAACACAAGGAAACACGACCACCTCCCTTTATTATCAAGAATAGATCCAAGCAAAATCACCTTTGAATTTCTTTTTTTTTGGGGGGGGGTTCCACTTAAATTGCATGTTTTATTTCTCCCAATCCCAGCAATAGCACAGAAGCCCCATCATGTCCATTCCAAACTGGTTTCTAGGAGGCTGAGATTACAGGGAGCGTCATTAATGTTAGTGACCCAAAGGGCTCCCAAATGCTTGGCCCAAATGCGCCTCCAAATAGACGGAAGTCGAGAGTGCACTGGCCCCAGGGTCACAGCACTCAGTCTGACTTTGCTATGCAACCTGCACCCTCGGAACAGACAGTCTGGGAGTGGGAAACTGAGGGAGTGAAGCTGAAATTGCCTATTAGCTCACCCTTTCAACATTAAACAGAGACCAAGAGAGAAACAGTTCCAATGTTTCACCGCATGTATTTCTTCTTGTGCAGTCTAAGCTGAGGATGCCATGTAAATGGGTCACTGCGAAATGCAGCAATTTACTTATTCTCCGATCAAAATAAACAAACCAGTATGATCTCACTTCTACTAATTTTTGAAGGTTTACAGCAGTTAAAGTATTTTTGCTTCTATGTATGAAGGTTAAAAAAATCATTTTTTTTTCATAAAATACAAGAGCAACCAATTTTACCATCAAGTAAAAGTAAAAACTGGGATTCTTTGTTAAATTAGTCCGAAGTGGCATTTAGGAACTTAGTTGTAGGCTGCGCTGCTGACACCATGACAAACCAAAGTGTAAGGTTGGGTCTGTTTTGTTTCGCTTTTCTTTTCAGTATCCAATGCTCACGGATTAAGTTCTGGAAATGTTCCAATTGTAAGGCAGGGATCTGTTTGGATTCCACCACGGGTATGCTCCTTGGGTTGAATGCTGGAGGGTGAGGCACATTTTGCCGGACCCATGTCGACTACCTAGTAGTCATCAAGGTCAAAAAATTCATCGTCTCCTCCTTGATATTCCATTCCCTGGAAATCTACTCGGTACCGCAAGATACCTGGAGAAGCAAAGCAGAGTGAGTAACCCAGGTTCTTGAAGCAGGAAGGGGTTAATTTCCCAAGAGAAGCCCACCCTCTTCTAGAATTACAAAATTACAGGCATGGTGGTTCACAAATATAAACTTTAGGCACAAGGACTGTCTAGTTGGAGGTCAATTTGGGTGCCAGTAAGTCCCAGACAAGTTGCCCCATTGTGGTTCCAATGTTTCACCGCATGTATTTCTTCTTGTGCAGACTAAGCTGAGGATGCCATGTAAATGGGTCACTGCGAAATGCAGCAATTTACTTATTCTCCGATCAAAACCACAATGGAGAGGGGGGAGATGGTACAGAGAACAACAGTGCTTGTGTTAAGCCTGGAACCTACATGGCGGAAAGAGAGGAAACTACCCGTTACCCTCAGATACCCCAATGTTTGCAGACATTACTCCCCAAAACAAAACACAGGCCTAGCAATATGGTTCTGCCGGTGGAGGCACTTGCTGTACAAGCAGACTCTCAGAACTCAGAAGGAGAGAACCAACCCCTGCAAACTGACCCCCATATGCATGCATGACACTCTTGTTCCCACATAAAAACACACAAAACCCCAGAGATTAAATATGACTAAAATACATTATGTATATGCATAAAAAAAAAAAAAAAACCCAAAACCAAAAAACATGCTGAGTGTGGTGGCGCACGCCTTTAGTCTCGTTAGTCCCAGCACTCGGGAGCCAAAGGCATTGGCATCTCTTGAGTCCAAGGCCAGCCAGGTCTACAAAGCAAGTTCCAGGACAGCCAGGGCTACACATAGAAACCTCATCTTCAAAAACCCAACCAAACCAAACCCACCCATACAAGCATCCCAGGAGATCCATTATTATATATAAATACATGCTAAGAAAAACCATTAAAGAAATCCTGTCTCAAACAAAACAAACTCATTAAAGATAACCAAAAGTTGGACCAAACTAAGGAATGTGCTGCTACCACCTGCTGTCCTGCTTTCAAGTAGAGAGAGCACATGCCACTTATTTCAGGCTAGCCAAAGCCCTGGTAAGAAAGCCTACTTGGAATTTGCTACTCACCTCCAATTCCACCAAATCCTTTCACAAACTGTGATCCTTCTTGTGATTTATCAGTAACAATTTCTAGTGTAGCTCCAAATTTTTTATAGTTGTTAGCAAACCATTCCAAGAGGGGCATGCTCTCAATCAGTTCATGCTCCTGTCCAGTCTACAGGGCAGTCATGACACAGAAAAAATGGCATTAGAATATAAAGTTCAGCCTAACCCTCTCAATGTCCCGCTCATTCTCTTGAGTACTATAAATTATATCCTATCCTGATTCTTGGGAACATAACTGAGATAGTAGATAATCTGATTATCTTAGTCTTTCTCCTCAGGCTGTAGCCTCAGCAACAAAATGTCATAGTTATGAACTTATGACTCCTATTGCTGATTCCAGAAACTAGGCTGTTGTAGCTTCTCTTCATCCAATAGCCCAGAAAAGACATATCACAGGGCTGCATAAAAAAAATCAAAACCAAACCAAACAAAAAAACCACCCCCCCAAACAAACCCCACCCCCACAAAATTACACCACATGTATACATGGTGCCCATGACCTGGAATTATAGACAATTGTGAGCTGCCATGTAGATGCTAGGAGCCAAACTTGGGTCCCCTTGAAGAACAAGCACTCTTAGCTCTCCAGTCGCACTGGCAGCCTTGTTCCAAAAGCATTCACTGTTGTATGTACATGGCATGTACTGCCATAAGGTACCATGCAGTGGCCAGAAGACAAACTGCTGGTGCCAGTTCTCAGGCAGAACTGAAAGCAGCTACCATGATAGCTGTCTTGTTTAGGATGGTAGTGTTCATTATAAATCATGGCAATGCATTTAAACCTAGCTAAGTGCAAAGGAAAGGCTGATAAAATACTAATAAAGCAACACAGGTCTCATAGGGTGGCAGGCACAGTGCTACTCAATTTAAATCTGTTATTTCAAGAATAATAATGTTTTCCTTCTTAACATTTTAAGAGATAGGGTCTACGTAGTTGTAACTGGCCTTGTACCTACAGAGAGCCTGCTTCAGCCTTTTAACTGCATGCACCACCACACCCAGCTTACTTGACTACTTTAAAATAGTCTATAATAGCCACGATCCCCTCCTCCTTTGGATCAGTGAGTGTGGCAATTAGATACTGCTCCTTCCCGTGTCTAACTAGACTAAGGCTTTTGTTTCTCAAGGCTGACACTCTGTGTTAACCAATGTTCTAACACTCATGCTTTTTGTATGTTACCATAAAAAAATCCATACCTCTTTGTCTGTGAAGTGAGATTTATCCTTCTCTTGTTCCGGAGTTAAATAGAGAATTTTCTCCTCTGCAGTATTAAAAGTTAAAAAAGAAAAGAGTATTGAACTGGCTCTGACAACACTAATAGATGTAATCAACTCTCTAAGAGGGGATTAGATAAGAAAGGACTCCTAGACTATCAAACCTTCCCATAAGTATACACCCTGGTACCTTGCTCCTGCAAGGACATATCAAAGGCATTCACAGTATAACCCCATTTCTTAACGAATTTAACTGGGGGGGGGGGGCACGGTGGCACAGAGAACAACACAGACACGGACAAAACACAACACATGACCTATACAATTATATGTTCCCTTCTAACTATGACCGAAATCAAAGCTTCCTGAACACAGAAATGTGACAGCAACAATATTTTCTTCATCTTTACCTTCTGTGCCTTGGCAATGAAGAACATATCTCATTATATCCAGATTTTCATAGACTATTAGAATCTCTACAGCTCCCATTTCCAAAGCCTTTAGTGTATCTTCAACTCCAAAACAGTACTTGCCCGTGTCCTGGCTAATTTCATCAAAGTATCGCCCTGTGGATTAGGGAATATAACAATGAAATATATGGTGGCTCTTGATATCCATGAGCTTAAGTCAACTATGAATTAAAACAGTAAGCACAGCTTTGCAATGTGTACTAGAGAGCTAGGCCTGTGGTGGTTATATGCAAATACAACACAGTTTCTCTAAGGGCCTAGCACACCTGTGGTTTTGTTACACAAAAGTTTATGAAATCGATTCTACCAGTCTGATCACTAGAAAGAGAATCCCACTTTCACCCCAGGCTTGACAGGTGAGCCACCAGAGCCTGCAGCCAGTGCTAGCTGCGATCTGCCTCAAGCCCACATGGCTGAGAACCAAGGGTCCCTGGATCACAGTTGCTGAGCTCCTAGGTCCTCCTAAGTCGCCCTTTTAAGGGTGGTGCTGCACTTTCCATCAGATCCATGGAGGACACTGCAAGCCTCTCTTTGGATCCTGTCTGAGGCATAGCTGGGGCAAGAAAAAACAAGATTCCCCAGCAGGGTTTGTTTTCAGTCAGGGTCTTGCGCATCCCACACTGACTTTTTTCCTATATAGTTAAGGATGACCTTGAACTTCTGATTTTCCTGCCTCTACCACCCAGAGTGTTGGGATTACAGGTTCCCCAGCCAGTATATTGTACTGGTGCTGTGTACTGACTCGAGGGTCTTGTGAATGCTAGGCAAGCACTCTACCTACTGAGGCCCCTACCTCAAAGTCTCACCCTGAAAATCAGGCAACACCACTAGACCTCAGCTTCCTGAGCACTGGGATTACATAGGCATGTGCCACCTATGCCCAGCTGATGCTACCCTCCATCCCCAGTGAAAATATTTGGTTTTCCATTCTCTCTCTCTCTAAAGAGGCTCTTTTTAAAAAATGTTTATTAATTTTTATTTCCTGTGCACTGGTGTTTTGCCTGCATATGTATATGTGAAGCATCAAATCCCCTGGAATTGGACTTACAGACAACTGTGAGCAGCCATGTGGGTGCTGAGAATTGAACTGGGGTCCTCTGGAAGAACAACCTGTGTTCTTAACTGCTGAGCCAACTCTCCAGCCTGGTTTCCCATTCTTTTACCATTTTTTTTTTTTTTTTAAACTTTAGTTTCATTTGGGACAGAGTCTCAAGTCTCATATAACCAAGGCTGGCCTAAAAGCTCCTGTAGCTAAGGATGACCTTGAATTCTTGATCTAACATCAGCCACCCTAGTGTGGGGATTACTAGTATGAACTACTACACCTAGCCCTTTCTTTTATATCTTTCAGTGTCTTAATTCATACACATACACCAAAAACAAAATAGCATTTCAGTGGTACCTATTAATTTCTTCTCTTGGATGAACTTCACGTTGGAGAGAACTTCAGTAGATAATTCAATGGCTTGGTTGAATCCATTTTCACCTCCATAGGATATATCAACTAATTTTAAAACTTTTGATTGCAACCTCTGAGACAAAAGAAACAAAAACATTAGGACCGCAAATACCTGAAATTCCACTCCCTTTCTCAAAAAATAACCAAACAAAACAAAAACTTGCTATCCGATCCCCTAGGAGCTGGAGTTATAGGTATTTGTGAGCCATCTGATGTGAGTGCTAGGACCAAATTTAAGTCTTTTGCATAAGCTTTGTGCACCTTTAACTACTGAGCCACCTCTCCACCCACAGACTTTTAAACCTGGAGAATTTATGGCTAGGGATGCAAACGTGTGCATATATTCGGACTAGTGTACCCACACTAGAGATTCCAGTAACAGCAGCTCCTTATCTCTTACCTGATCAAACATGTCAGATTGACTTAGTTCAGTTTTAAAGTCAGCTGATCCAGCTAAAACCAGACCCGCCACATTCACTTTGTCTCCAGAAATAAACAGCTGCACAGCAGTCTCTGCTACTTTCCGAACATAGTTATGTCGCTTTTCCATTCTTAAACGGGCAAAACGCAAGGCTGATTGACCTCCTCTGCCTTTGACAGAAAAGTAGTGGGGAAGACAGGGGTAACTATTAACAAGTACAACATGCCATGAAGTAAAAGCAAAATAATCAGTCAAGCTAAAGACACAGAGAAAAAGACCACTTCCATAACTGGTTAGCACAAACTGATGCCTAGTGACTACTGTTAGACATAAGTAAAAGAACTCAAGGAGTCCTCCTATATACCGTGTTTCTTTGGGAGATCCACAGTGAATTTGTGCAGGACTTCTCTGGTGTTTCCTTGGAGCGTGCCAAAAAGAGCACCACTGCCGTCTATTACAATAAAACCAAACTTGCTGTCATCTGAAAGTAATGCTGTAAGAGCCTAAAAAACAAAAAACACAACACTGTACAGTGAATTCCTATGTTCTGCCAAGGCATCGACAAAATTCAAAGTGACACTCAAACCCTTTTATCCCACTCAATTCTGCAGAGGGAGTGGAGTAATCTATATACTTATGTAGAATGGTAGTTTCCATTCTTCAGGGAAGGAGAGGGGGAAATATTCATTGCTTACAGTTAGTTAGTTCTGGAGATAAGATGGTGATGGTACTGCACAACTAAAAGCAGTTAAGGTGATTTATCTGGATTTTACCACAATAAAAAAAGTAAGAAACAAAACATCTCAATACCTAAACTTGGGCAGGCAAGATGGCTCAGCAAGTAAAGGTGCCTGATGCCTACACCTCTGGTCCCCTCCCCCCAAATCAATGCAGAAGGACAGAATCAACCCCCCAAAAGTTGTTCAGACCTTGACAACCAAGCCACAGAAGCCTGTCCTCCTCCCCCCCCCCACACACACAAAAGTTGAGGTGGACACAGTGGTATAACTCCAGCACCAGAGAGGCTGACACAGTTCAAAGCCAACCTGAACTGCATAGTGAGAGACCACCTCCAAACTCAATCAACTAACTAACCAAGCAACTATCAACCAAACAAGATGTCAGTAGAAAATTGTAGTCTGTTTTTCCCCCTTTCATCATTTTATTTAGATAGATGGTATATAGTACGTAACATCCAAATTAAGGATGGAATTTCCAAATTTGGTTCCTGTTTTTCTAGACTAGTGCTCTGAAATGCAACTCAAGTTTGTTAACTACCAATGACCTCAGCATTACTAGACAGTACTACCATGGCAAAATAATCTTGTAAATCAATCTTATAGTAAGAATAAGGGAAAACAGATGTGTCTAAAAACGTTTTTTGTTTTTTTTTTTTTTCTAATGTTTCTCACAATTTTAAAGTCCCCATACTCCTCAGGATTTGTCTGTGTAGCTCAGGCTGTCCTCAAACTCAAGAGATTCACCTGCCTCTGCCTCCCCAGTGCAGGGATTAGAGGCTTTTGGAATGTGTATTAGTGTTTTGCCTGCATGTACATCTGTGCGAAAGTGTCAGATCCTCTGGAATGGGGATTACAGATAGGTGTGAGTTACCTTGTGGGTCTTCTGGAAGAGCAGTCAGTGCTATTAACCACTGAGCCCCAGGATTAGAGTTTATAGGAAAACTATTGAGTTATATATTATTGATTTTGATCTCTTTAGAACTGAGAAATTATTCATTCTATTTTAATTAAAGGAAAAGAAACCTTTATAAAAATGACTAGAATGCAGGCTACTGAATTAGCAATCTATGGTTTAGAAAAATGAAATTTAGCAGTAAGATACGCATAGTGCAAGTTTGATGTGGTGACATGCCTATAAGAGTCATGAGAACTGAGTCCAAAATGCTAGTCTAGGCCAGAAAAGCAAGACCCTGTCTTAACCAAAAACAAAACAAAACAAAACAAGCTCCCCCCCACAAAAGGAGAAAAAAAAAAAAAAAAAATATCAGTCGTTGGATTCACTTGCAATCCCCAAATCAGAAGTTCAAGGTCATCTATGGTTATATAAAATTTTGAGAACAGCCAGTCTCAATAAAATAAACTCTAACAGGGGCAGAGGAGTGGCTTGATAGGTAAGGTGCTTTCTGTGCATAAGGACTTAGTTTGGATCTATGTAAAAAAACTAGGTATGGGGGAATTCTGGGTGCTGGGGGTATAAGAATTCCTACCCTTAGCGCTAGTAGTCATTTTAATGTCTACTGGAAGAGTAAAAATCAATTATGCTAATATAATAACTTAGCTAAAAACCAACAATATAGCTATCAGGTACTTTTAAATCACAAAGATCCAAAATCTGCTTTCATCAAAGTTGATATAAGCAAATTCACTAGATAGAATGGCCAGCAGTCCCAAGAGGCCTTTGCTGGGATATTAGGAGCTAGCTAAGAAGAAGCTAAGCTAGATTACCACACAGTCAACCAAGATTCAACTGGGTCCATTGGACTTCCTGTCAAGTTAGCAAAAATCACCCAGTGTAAACTGTGGACAAATGTCAGTTCTAATTTCACTGCAGGTTTCTCTCTAGGTTGACGAAAGGCAAGAGACTAAAGTAGAAGCCAGCTGTGAATTCCTGATTGCTTTACTGTTGACTGATTTAGGTCAGTCTAATGAGGTTTCTTTTCCACTACTAATGTTCATCATCGTTAGCTTTGTCACTCAGGTTTCGTGAGAACAGGAAATGAGAAAAACTCACTAAACGCATTTTATTCGCTTATTTTTCAACAATTTGTGAGCTTAGCACCAAAGTATAAGAATATAAGCAGGTATTACTGGTATATAGCAAGAGATAATCAATCAGCAGCCAATCACCTGCTTCTAATTAGTTATCCAAATCCAACTTAGCATTTTCCTCCAACATCCTATTGAAGTGCCTAGCACTTCAGAGGTGGAGGCAGGAGGATCAGGAACTCAAAACTAGCCTCAGCAACACAGAGCCTTGTCCTCTTCCAGCACCAGCACCCCCACCCACAGGAAAAAAATATCCATGTAAAAGGTTACAGTTGCCTATGGTTACTATCTAAGCCACCAACTGCATTTCTACTTTAGTGTATAATCTACAAAAATAAAACAAATAGTTACAAATTCCTGTGCATGAATGTTTACAGTGATATTGTCCATGAAAGCCAGACAGTGAAAACAATCCAAAGGCATCAATTTATAAACACATAAATATTGTGGCTTATCTAATACCAGAGTATTCAATGATAAAGTGGTGAAACAGTATAGAAAAATGCTGCCACACAATCTTGAAATAAAGAAAAGGCTAGACTGTAGGACTCCACTATAGGAATGTGTAAGCCAACCTATGAATAGAAAGTAGATTAACAGTGAACTAGAGCTAAGGAAGCTGAAGAAAGGCTAGTAGCCACTAATGGGTTCTGTGCTCACTCTTACCTCTGTATGAAACTTGTTGTCGCACAAATACAAGGATGTATTAATTGGTTTGAAAGGTTCAAAGTCAATGTTGACTTTCTTTTCCTTTCCTTCTTCTGTTACAATTGTTCCACAGTAAACAACCAGACCATTTGGAGGTACTGCAAAGAACATAAACAATTTCTCTACTTTAACTGTTCCCAGAGCCACAATTAAATAAAACAGAAAAACCCCTAACACAGGCGAAATTCTCACCCCAAGTGCAAATCTCTGAGATGTTTCAGTAGAATTTATTCCTTAAGTACAGCAAATACTTTGTGCTCAATGGAGTAAAAAAGAACAGTGACAACAGCTGCCCGAAGACACAGCAGTAAAGCACCATGGCAGGAGCAGAGCAGACAAAGCAGATGGGGAAATGGTTACCTTTGTTATAAAGTTTGAGTCTCTGTTGTACAGATGTGATGGCTCCCAGGACTGAAAGGCGGTTTACTCGTGACTTAATGTTAGACGCAGTTCCAAACTCGTCTGCTAACATTTTTGCCACTCGTGAAATCTGGTCTTTGGGAGGAATGATCAGCGATATCATGCTCGTGCCATTGCTAGGGAGAGAAACACACTGCTTTAAATTCATGTTTACCATCAGGAAATGAGCTATAGTGAGACACATCATCTGGACGGTACCAGAAAAGCATTAACTACATCAGTGCATTTTCCAAAGAAAGCCAAACAAGAGTCAGTAGACAGTTAAGTGCTCAATTATTTCAATATGGAGATTAGTCATGTAATGAACACACTCAAAGGGAAATACCTCATTCTCAAGGATGGAGATAGAAGGTTGCTATGGAGGGCCAACAAGCTGGAATCTGACCATGAATGCAGCCTGTCAATAGTGGAGACCTAAGATGCTGGTGGCTCTTCAGTTATGCCAGGACAATGCAACAAGTCTTCCAAAGTCCAGACAAATGTTTTACTTAACACCATCCCTTTCTTCTTAAACTCTAGGCTTGCCACAAAACCCCTCAAACATTAATCCAGCATACCAAGTGCTGTCTTGATAGAAGAGTATGCAATTCACAAATATCCCAGTCATGAAACAATTTGTATCAAGAATATTTTTGCTTTTTTTTGAGATGGGGAGCTATGTAGACTGTAGTAGAGACCCTTCTGTCTCTGCTGAGATTAAAGGAGTATCCACCAAGAATGTGTTTTGATTACACTGATTTGACTAAATTTTTTTTTGCAAGAGTCAAGCAGGGACTAGAGATGGCTGGGTAACTGAAAGCACCTGTTTTCACAATCATAAATAAAAGCCTGGAGTTGAGGTTCCAGAACCCTTACAACACGTCAGGTGTTCTGCACATGCCTAGTAACATCAGCTCCAAGAGGATAAGACAATAAAGTGTCTATCACAGAGCACGTGCGTGCTAACACACAAATACATTTTTAAAAGAGTAATGCACCGAGAGCCTGATAAGTATCCAAACAAATTCAAATATCTAGAACCAAAAGATGAGGCTGAAGTGAAGAACACCACCTCTTTAACCTGTACTTTCAAAATACTATCAGCAGCAGTTAAACACATGGTTTCAAAACGTTTAGATCTGTTTTTGTCTAGCATGCACGAGGTCACAGCTTCAAACTCGAACACCAAGGAGAAAGGCAGGGTATGTCAGCAGCAATGTAAACCAGTTTTGTAACTTGAAGAGTTCTGAAGGCTGGTTTACCATGTGAAGACTCGCCTATAATGACTACACACATAAAGTTGGTTAAGATGACAACTAACGTTAGAGAGAGAAGCCTCAGTATTACACACACCTATAATCTTAGCACTAGGGAGGCAGAAATAGGAGGATCCCTAGAGGTCATAGGTTTAAATGGGGACCATCTCAAAACACAAGTGGAGAGTGATAACAGAAAGTACCTGATGCCAGTTTCCACGCATGCACACCACACACAAAGATAACACATAAGAAAAGATACAATGCGTGAAAACCATGTGGTAAGATAGGTAAAGATAACCAAAAAAAAAAAAAAAAAAAAAAAAAAAAAAAAAGAGGGAGGGAAGGAAAAGGAGGGCAGGTGGGCGGGGTGTGCTAAGTGGTGCATGCCTTTGATCCCAGCACTTAGGAGGCAGAGGCCAGTCTGGTCTATAGCACGAGTTCCAGGCCTGCCAGGGATACACAGTGAAACCCTATCTAGAACCATCTCCCAAACAAATATAACATTATTTATTTATTTTAAAAAATTTATATAGTGTTCTTGCCTGCATATATGCCTACATGCCAGAAGAGGGCACCAGATCTCATTATAGATGGTTGTGAGCCACCATGTGATTGCTGGGAATTGAACTCCAGACCTCTGGAAAAGCAGCCAATGCTCTTAACCACTGAGCCATCTCCCCAGCCCCAACAATTTTTTTTTAAGTGTATTTTTTGGTTTTCTTTTGGCCTGTACATAAGCCTGTCTTGTCTGCACTACTGCATGCCTGATGCCCTCAGAGGCCAGAAGAGGCAGGAAACTCCCTGGAACCTAGGTTCTGTCCACGAGAAATCAGGACTCTGAACTACTGAGCCACCTCTCCAGCCCCATGACAAGTCAGTTTAAATACAAACTATTTCCTGTGGGTTTTATTTTCTTTCCCCGATGACCATCACTTTAGAGGCTCTCAGAATCTTTAGGTGCCATAGGCACTATGTTAAAGGGCCCCAGTTCTAAGCAAACACTACTTTACAAAGTAGTTTCCTAAGATATGGAATTGATAGACGAGTGGAGTGAGAAGAGGCTGCCTGTGAATAACAGAGATGATGGCATAGGAACCCAACCCCAAAGGACTGGAAAATTTAAAGCTAAATAAAACCGAGTAAACTCAAAATATCTCAAAGTCAGATAATGATATGCAGGACAGAGTAATGACCTTGAGATAAGCTGCTATTTGTTTTCCACAAAGATAGGTTAAAATGATAAACATTCAGTAAGCTATTTTGCTTTAAGAATAAATAGTAGGTAGGGGCTGGAGAGATGGCTCAGTGGTTAAGGTGCTCTTCCAGAGGACCTGGGGTTCAATTCCCAGCAGCCATATGAAGCTCACAACTGTCTGTAACTTCCAGTTCCAGAAGATCTGACACCCTCACACCACTGCACATAAAGTTAAATTAAAAAAAAAAAAAAAAAAGAATGAGAACAGTAGGGTAACCTTGCATTTCCACCCATGTAACATTTTAGAGAAGTTAAGGCAGTGAACACATTTATTTAGTGACGAGATGTGATCTCATCCCTGGAATTCACTGCTTAAAAGTTAAGAAGCAGAGAGCAGGGAGTGGTGGTGGTGCACTCCATTAATCCCGGCACATCTGCCAGACAGGCAGATCTCTGAGTCCAGCCTCATTTACAGAGGAACCCTGTCTCAAAAACCCAAAACAGATCCAGAAGGATAGCCTACCCCCCAAAAAAATTTTTTGAGTACATTTCTACTAAGTTACTAAATGTGAAATACACTATCTTAAATAAAGTTCAAGACTGAAGAGATGGCTCTATGAGTATGAGTGCTTGTATAAGGACATGAGTTCAGATCCCAGAATCTACATAAAAACATGTACTTGTAACTCTGGGCTGTGGGAGGTAAAGACTAGGACTTCCTAGCTGCCAGCCTAGCTCCAGGTTCAATGAGAGACCCTGTCTCAAGGGAATAAGAACTTTCGTTACATATATAGAATGACATCTCCCATTAGACGTTCATCACTGAGCTATACCCCCCTGCTGCAATAGTTTTATTTCTCTGGTGCTCTCACACAAAGACACATAGGGTCCATCTCCCACCTACCTCCTAAATTTTAGGGGCAAAACTACCTTTCACTGGTTTCCATGTATAACTCTCCCTACTCTACAGGGGGAAACATTTCTGAACTCATCTTTGCAAGACACTTGATTAGAAAAGGGCTGAAACCTAGATCTTAAAAACATAGCTTGTGGGGGTGGGGCATGGGTGCATGCCTGTGTCCCAGACCTCCAAGGCTGAGGAATTAATAGTTCAGGCTACTAAAGCTGCCTGGTAATTTCTATGCTAGCTTTAACACTAGCAGATGAAAGGCCTCTGCTAGAAAGTTTTGGAGCAGATACACTCATTCACCCCACAGGCAAGGCAAAGCTGTTAGACCAGTTTATGTAAACACAAGAATATCTCAAGGAAGTTGAGTATTTCATGTTCACATATTGCAAATACCTCTTAAAAGGAGAATGAGAAATAAAACTCTTGCAGCATGGGGGATATAGCTCAGTGATGAAAGTACTTGCTTGACCATGTGCAAGGCCCAGAGTTAGACCTCCAGACATTTGAGAGAGAGAGATCTCACCTGAGAAGCTGCTAGCTATAAAGGCCAAGCTATAGCATATTCTCATTCTCCCCACCTCCTCATCTATGAGACAGGGTATCCTTGGCTGGCCTGGAGCTTACTATATAGACCAGCCTGCCCCAGGCTCCAGTGCTGGGATTAAAGGTATGTGCCACTACATTCTATCTGCCTTCATTAATTCTAATAACTTTTTTTTTTAACCTCTCTGTTGTCATTTTATCCCTTTCCAAAATCAAAAGACCCCGATTAAGAAGAGCCAGTGAGGGTACTGGAGAGATGATTTGGCAGTGAAGAGTAATTTAGCGGCTCTTCCAGAAGACCCAGGGTTTGATTCCAACTGTCTACATGTAGCTCACACTCCTGTCTGTATTGAGAGCACCAGGCACTCACATGGTGCTCAAACATCTACACACATTAAAAGAAGCCAATGAATACAAGTTTGTAATCTCAGAACTTGGAAGGGCGGCACAGAAAGATCCCAAGGCAGACTTGGCTACAGGGCAAGAGCCAGCGAAAGGGCCACGGAGATGTTCCAGTCAGAAAAGAGCATGTGGATCTGAATCCAATCCGCAGCGCCAACATAAAAGCTAGGGGTGTGTGGGTGTGTGAGACAATGCATGCCTGAAGGAAACCCCTCAGAACCAAGGAGGCAGGCAGGGAGGTCCCTAGGGCTCCAGGTTAGCCAGGGGGTGGGGAGATGGCTAAACAAAAACAAGCAACAACAGTAAAAACACTCCTAGCAAGATGGAAAGCAGAGACTGCAGAGTTCCCACAAGCTCAATGGCCAGCTACAGCAAAGAAGCTGTCTTAACAAGGTGGAGGTGGTCAAAACACCTGATAGTGTCCCCTGACTGCACACATGCACCACGCCGATGAGGAGGAAGACAAGATAGACAAAAAGAAGCCCCTATGTGGGTTGGCAATCCCAGATTTTATTTAGGAGGCAGAGCCAGGAAGCAGAGTCAGCCTGATCTATATTGAGAGTTCCAGACCAGCTGGGAACAAAGTATGACCCTGTCTCAAAACAACAAGAGCCAATGAGGGGCTGGTGAGACAGCTCAGCAGGTAAAGACACTTCAAACCCTGGAAACCACATGATAGAAGAGCCCACCCCGTCCCCCAACCTCCACCACAAAAATTAATGTTAAAAAAAAAAAAGTCAATGAATACTATATAGCAATGACTCATACACAGGCCTTAAAAACTTTAAGACATAAAAAGCAAGATACAACATAGAACTGCAACCAACA